GAAACTGTTGAGTGTGTGTAGCGGAAGGTTCTGAACAAGTAGTAGAAACTGTTGAGTGTGTGTAGCGGAAGGTTCTGAACAAGTAGTAGAAACTGTTGAGTGTGTGTAGCGGAAGGTTCTGAACAAGTAGTAGAAACTGTTGAGTGTGTGTGGTAAATGGCCACGCAACCCATAGGAGTGGAGGTCCTGCAAAATTCCATACCTTCACGTAGTGTCATAAGCCTTCTCGAGATCGAAGAACACAGAAACAAGGTGTTCTCTCTTGAGAAAGGCTTCCCTGATCGATGTTTCAAGTCGAATCAGATGGTCGACTTAAGATGTAAAGATGCACAGTGGACTATCTGCACTATGCCCACTGCTGAGATCAAGCCCCAACTTTTACCATTATGAACCCTTAACCTTAATGCTGAGTCATTAGGAAAGATACAAATATCACACAAGAACTGCAAAAAACATTCAAATCATAAATGCAATTTATAATAACTTAGCCAGGAAAATATAAAAACAATAACCATTCAGTTCTTTCTTTTTTTTTAAATCAAATAAGTCATCTCATGATCCATGATGTGGCCTAAAATGCAAATGGTTGGTCATTCACTTATAGTAAATGACAATTTGGTGGCTTTATAGTTCATAACATTTCAATATGGATCATAGGCACCAAGAACAGGACAGACAGCATGAAATGTAAACTCAATGCTAAAATCAGAGTCTGATAGTCTTGAGGTATCCTGAACCACTCCCCTGAACAGCCTTTTTCTAAGTCATTTTAAGTGTATGGAGTCACTTGACATAATGTAACACACATTCCAAGAGCAACCCATGCACACTCGATGTAAGATTGAAGTTAAATGAACATATAGACTATATGAAAATGGAGCAGGAACCAATTCCAAATGCTCCATATGAGTGAATGGCTGTTATCTGGTTGCAGATTGAAGCATGATTCAGCTTTAAAAAACACTACTCCACATGTGATTGGTTTCAGCACCATTGCAGACAAGCTGTTATGGATTTTGTTGTGAAAAGAAAGCATCTCCTTGTATGTCTGTACACTGACATGATGTCCAGTTGTGGCTGTTAACATCTGATTCAATCTCAAAGTAAGTACCCTACTATTGCAGAAAGCCAAAATCAATAGACAAATCACCTGCTTGTGTAGTAGATAATGCTCTGTCTTGCCCACATGTCCAAGCAACTGTACCATTGGCTTCGGAACAGCTTTATGTTCTGTTTATGACATTTGTACCCAACCTTCAATAGCTTGTTAGGATTGTTCAGTTTTCATTCATATTATGGTTCTTCACTTACATGAAAAACATCCAAATATCATCTCTAAGATTTTAATCATGGCTCGTGAACACATGAAACACTTTAAACTTTGATTTAAAATGAGAATAACTAAAAGACTGTAACATTAATATATACATATAGCATAGGCTGAATGGTGAAACATTTGTATTTTGGATTGCATAGTTGATCCTTAGATGCCTGATTTACATAAAAATAAACTAAAGAGAAATTGACATTATTGTTTATCAGAGGCTTTGTTTTTTCATAGCTTATAAGATTTCAAGTTCCAGTTTTTTGTTTTGTGCAGTTTGTTATCTGTAGTTTACTAAAAAAAAGGAAAAAAGTTAGCTGTGTTGTTTTTCCAATGTGATAAACATGTGTAACAATTACTGATTTAGATTAAAGATATTAGAATAAACCTCATCAAAAATAAATGTAATATTTCATTACTTATAATTTTCTACAATACAAAATCCACAAATTCCAGTTAAAAGAAGTACTTACCTGCCTATAGGACCCAGTGGCCCAGCATCTTCAACATAACCAGTGTTTATCCAGTCTTCCAAGTTGAATCCAGGACCTAACCACATTTCCAGGTTCACCATATTGTTTGGCACATAGTCAGCTGGTCGGCTAGCACAATTTCTATACCAAAGAAAATTGTATTACACTTAGAAATGAAGTTTCAAAACTGAATTTCTTGTAAAATCACATGGATCTTAACAAGTTTTTTTTATTTTGTACTACAATATTTTTTAAAAATATTTTCAGCATGTAATAGTTCATAAAAATGCTGCTCATATAATTGTAAATTAGCAAACATTTTGAAAAAAAATTATCATTCTTCTCAGGCTGATGCATTACAAAATGGGAAATTTCTTGTTTTTTCAGCTGTTCATAACAACTTATTCTGTTTAAAGCCACAACACCTAAATACAATTTATAACATATCATATTTTTTCTCAGAATATTTTGCCTGTTTTTAAATCACTTGAAGAAACCATCCAAAATTACCATAAATTATGAACACTTTAATTTTTTAAACAGATACCAATTTTTAAACATAGTAAACTGTAGTCAAAAAACTTGAAATTCATATTTCCAAGTAAAAATTCCCCATAATTTACATTGAAATCAATATATGACTTTATTAAGAGATTAAAGCAAATTTTATCAATAACAAATCTGTTCTAAATTAACAATATCACAGAAATTTCTTACTCTCTTACCCAGATGATTAAACTATTATCTTTATGAAAACCATATGTTCTGCGATATCAACAAGAAAAAAACACTCAAATTTTCACAGTGGTTCATGTTACATTTGCTCCTAATTCAAGCAACTTCTCTTTGTAGGAAACCCTGATAGACACTTAAGAAAGTTAACAGTACTAGTTTTGTGTTTTTATGAAGTTACCTTTGGAAAAAAATCCTTATGATTTGGTAAGGAAGATAGAAGATATGGCTTAAATCAATGTTTCCCAACCTTTTTCCCCACTGTGCCCCCTTCAGCAAACAAGGAGCACTCATGTCCCCTTCTAATAAATTTTTAGACCATTAATAAAAATAAAATGCACATTGTAAGAAAAGAATAATCAATTCTTATGGTTTAATTTTAAGAAATATAACTTTGAAACCCTCAAAACTTTTCTGTCCGCTCCCTCGCTGCCCCCTCAAAGTTTACTGCCCCTCTGAATTTTAAAAACACCCACTAAGGGGCAGTACTGCCCAGGTTGGGAAACACTGGTTTAAATGAAAGCTGGTAAAACATTAGAAACAATTAGGCCTAAAATTAATGATAAATATCACAATAACTACAGATGTTTTTCCATGTTCCTCTCAATTTTTCCATTGCAGAATCAAAACCAGAGGTGCGTAAAAACAGCATTTCAGATTTATCTCTCGTCTATTAGATAAAATATTTCAATCTATATTTCCTCATACACTTTTCTTAATGAAGTTTAATAACAATTAACATTAATAGTATACGCACCGGATTAATCTAAACTCCAATGAGTGCGTGTAATATTTATTTATTTATTTTACAAACTGATATTATTATAATGGTTCCTATTTTTCAAGTGTTGTTAGTTTCATAGGCTAACCACTAGCCTCTCAGTACTACACGAGTCCATTAAACTTACCGAGGTTCGTTACATCCTGATATCCGTTGCAGCGTGACGGTAGAGTTAATGTTATCGTCTTCTCGTATAAGAAGTACGTCGGCGTAGCCAACCACCTCCTTCAATAACAGACTGAGAATATTGGAGATCAGGCGATGGGACACTCGATTGCTTATTTCAATGGTAATATTTACGGCTCGTTCGTTTACATAAAAATGACGTTTTGGGTTTGCTTCTGTAATAATATGGCCAAACAAACACTGATGAGAAGCTCAAGATTTTTTTTAAAACACAAAATATAAATCAACATACAGATGTGTGTAAAACGTACAATATTTTTTTATATGGGTAACCTGACTAATTGGAATGTCAAAGTTTGTTATTCTAAAATTGTCACTGCTCGAGTTTTATATTTTTCAGTGTACAAATATATATATATTGTTGGTTGATTAAATTGCAGAATTAATAATTTTAATATAATTAAATATTTTTTACCTTTAGATAGATTTTATTTTGGTATATTTTTTGTAGAAATAGTCCTATGTATTATTTATTTTTAAAAAATGTAAAAGGCTTTTTTAAACTCCCAAATTAATTGAATTTCAACACCTATTTAAAATCCACGTGTGTTTTACTGCCAATCCGAATAAATCAAACAATTGCGGTCAATAACTAGTACACACCTTGGAGGAAAAATCGAATTATACGAATCACTTTAATTCATTTCATATATTTTCTTATGTATTGATTTTTTTTAAGATTACACTGGAGATACAATAATAGTATGTGTTAACAACAGAGTACAACACTTGTGATATACAGAATGACTATAAAGAGAATTGCGCTGTTCATTGCGTCATATCTCACAAACGGTATTGTATAGGAAGATGAAATTGCAGAACAAGGCATTTGTTTTGTAAACTGGCAAAAGGATCTCATTTATGTCATGTGAAGTGTCAATATCTTACTGCGCCAACTAAATTTTAAAGTATATAAATTATTTTTTTACCAATCCAAAGATAGTTCAAAACCTAGACATATCAAAATGCGAAAAACATTAAATTTCCAATATTGTAAATTTTACAGATTAATCCAAGAGTAGTTGCTCTAGATACCACTTATGTTGAATAAAGAAACTCGACGAATGCACCTAAAGATGCCACCAGTACTAATATGCTACTTAAAATTCCACAGCTTCGTTCACTGTATGGTACTGAGAATTTAGAGTAAATTTTTAGCTTTTACCCAATACTATTTACCCTTAGCTCTCCCACCATTTCAGTGAATCATGTTAACAAATTGTTGTTCTGTGAATGAAACTATCACTCACTTCTCAACTTCAACCATGCACGTCCTTGCTTCCTTGCCCTTTCAATTGTTATTACAATGTTGCACATTTCGTTCTTGAAACGTTTCAACATTAAACATTGATATTTTCTATATTTTTACTGTAACACTACAAAAGCAGATACGGAAAGTTTTTATTCTATAAATAGTTATAATTTGAATAATTATTATTATTTAACACTGCACGTTTGTTATCTAATCAAGGCAGTTAATTGGTTTTTCTCAACCCTATACTACGTTCAATTTAGCTACTAAAATATGTTTACTTGTATCATGCATCTTTTTGATGTTGTGTATAACGTAAACAACTCTGATATTTGTTCATAATTTTCTAGTAATTTCGCGTGTCAATGCACTCATGTTACTGTAATTTGATTTACAAAATTACGAGATTATTACCGTAAGACCGAAAATACCAACGTTTGCAGGTAAGGATGGATTTGATTTCACTGAGGGCATAATTCGAGCTAATTTTAATTAACAAGTACCTGTAAAGATATAAGGCGGAGTTATTATTAGCAGACTCATATTACTTTCGAAAAAATAAAAATAAACCAAAAAGAAACCGAAATAAATAGAGGGCAGTCACCTGATTGTTGTCGACATTTTCCACTAGATGGCACTGTGATGAATGAAACTGTGACAACACTGGTGAGGATCCACAAGATTGGATTTATCGGCATATTATGTTCGACTTCTGGCATGCACGAAATCTATTGGTTCGCCATGCTGACTACAGAGAAACAAAAACTATATTAACAATTAAATAGATTAATTGCATTATATTATCTTCGAAACACATAATTATCTTTATTTTAGACACATGTAGGAAAGTTAAATCAAACATTAGTATCTCTGATATCCGTAAGTACGAAAATAGAAAAACACTTAAAGCTCTCTTTTTACTGAGTGTAATATTCTGGTTTTGCCAGTAGTGTGCCTCAATGTCCTTCTTCCGTCTCATATAGCTATGGAAGATCGAGATTTAGAATACAAACGGATTGGCTACATTGCACCAAAATAAAAGCCACGACTACACGATGAACACATATGGAAAACTGACATATGCTTACTACATTATTAAATGATAAAAACAACAGTTGTGAAGCTACAGTTAAATAATGCTCTTTCGTAAACGTGCCCTCTTTTAACTTTCAATCCCTGAACTCTAATCTATGAAACAGTTCCAAAAAATTACAACACGGAAGCAATAATAAAACTCGAACCTTATTTTGGAAACTTTTGAAGAGAAAACTTTAAAATACGTAGTTCATTAACACTTTATTGGAACAAAGTAATAATTGCAATTTTAATATGCACTAAAGCTAACTAAATATATATATTCTTCTTTACTTACACTCAGACGTTCTTATTAAACAAGTGATATGTGACTTAACCAGAGAAAATTACAGTAGTCTATTTAAGTGGGTAGGGTCGTCGCCAAGGTTAGAAATAGTGAAAAATATATGATGAGAGACCTCCTTTGGAACTTTCTTGAAAATACCTTCGGTATGTGGATATTTGTTTTTCGCTTCCAGCTTTTATTTATAACGTTATTATTTATTTATTTATTTTTTTAGATGTAAACTTTAACGTTTTTTACGGCATACCTTTCCATTCACGGATATTCTGTCGTGGGCACTTCAACACCTTCTACACTGGTACTATTCCAAGCATTTTGGACCTTGCACTTGCAGGTCATCTTTGAAACCGAGGCTTATGGTACTTATAATTGTTTAAAGAAAAGCAGTGTATTCTGAGTGAACTCGCTCCTACTAGCCCCACAAAATTCACCGTATCTTCGTAAGAACTTCTGTCTTTCAGGATTACCCTATTCTGTTCATCATAAAATAAGCTATATTCTAATGTATTTGCAGGAAAATCCTCGATTTATCTGGCTGAGAGTGGTTTAGTACAGATCGCTTGCTAAGTAGTGGCTGCAATTACTAGATAAGTACCATTTTAAAAGGTTCAAACAGTATAGCATAGGTGTACTAATCCTGTCACTTCAAACCTATATCTTTACACAGCTAGAAAAAAAAAAGAATATAAATTCGGTGATGATACAGAAATAACTCCGAATAGTTATATAATTGGCGAACAACAAAAAAGTGGTGAAAGCCAAATAACAAATACCAAAAATTTATCAAAATACTTATTCGAAAAACAAATTCCATTTGAACTTACGACGATTATTGAGTCTTTCTCTAAATATAAATTACTAAATTTGCTCGTCGGATTATTATCATTCTAGCAGTTTGTGAATAAAACTTAGAAAACTAATTTGTATTATCGTGCAATTACACGAAGGGGAAAAATTTAATCATACAAAGAAACTGGTAAGAAACAGTGAATCAGGGTTAAAGAATATATCTAACAGGAGCAAAAAGTATTTCGATTAAATACCTAAAGCTAGAATAGATTAACAGTTCAATTAATACATCAACTATACCAGTTTTAAACTGATCTCGTATCACGGTATAATAATCAACCAATTACGAAAATTTCTAAGATTTTTGCTGGATATTTACTATTGCGATTTGTTTGAAAGAACCGGTCGATTTCAACTAGTAACGAAGTTAAGCAACGTGATTCTGTGAGAAAGTGAAGAGCTATGCCTAGACAAAACTCGAGCCCTAAACCATGACTGACTATGACTAAAGAAAGTTTTAACACTACGTGTTTGACGGTTTTGTAATATCCACTGCCATAGGTACTTGTGAAAGAGTTTTGTATTTCCGTTTTAGATTTCAAAGTTTTTCCATTAATAACGCTGAGATAAAATTTTGATTATTCATGCACAACTAGAAAATGTCAACTTCTGTCCCTCATGATAACGTAATAACAATACTTAAATACTTCTACCAGAGACGAAACTTTACTTTCGTCTAAGGTACCATTGTACAGTAGTCAACAGGTTGGCTGTATCTCTATCAAATATGTAATTCTTCATATATCTCGCGTATAATTGCAAAAGTAATTCGTGAGCAATCCTAGATTAAGCTGTCCCTCCATCTCAGATATAACTGTACATCCACCTCTTCTGTAACTGTGCCTACATCTCAGATAAGCCCGGCATGGCCAGGTGGTTAGGGCACTCGACTCGCAATCTGAGGGTCGCGACCAAACATGCTCGCCCTTTCAGCCGTGGGGGCGTTATAATGTGACGGTCAATCCCACTATTCGTTGGTAAAAGAGTAGCCCAAGAGTTGGTGGTTGGTGGTAATGACTAGCTGCCTTCCCACTAGTCTTACACTGGTAAATTAGGGACGGCTAGCGCGATAGCCCTCGTGTAGCTTAGCGCGAAATTCAAAACAAACAAACAAACATCTCAGTTCTAACTGTACATCCACATCTTCTGTAACTGCACCTTAATTGAAAATGTTATTGTAATTCCATTTTAGATTAAAAATTATATCTTCAGATATAATTGTATCTCCATATGAAGTGTAACTGTGAGTCTGTCTAATCTGTTAGTACATAATGCTGACGTATTTCGAATCGGAGTAACATGATATTCTTAACTCATATCCATTTCTTGACATTCAAACTGTCTGGACTAAAGATGATAAAAGAAATTTCTGCTCTTGATTATCATTTCTACATTAAACAGTAAATATGTTGTATTTTCTCGTAAAACTGATTTCGTAACAAGTATCAGATAGGTAAATCCGCAAGTAACAGCACATTCGATCAAGAAATCAGGGGAGAATTTATGTTTGATAACGTGATCGAGGTTTTTAAAGCGGGAAATAACGAGTCTATAAAATATAAATAAATAACCAAACTCTTTATTGTGGCAAACAAACAGAAAGCATAGTGTGTGTGCTTGCGCAAACGGAATTATAGTCACTTACAGTATATTATGCTGTATTCAGCTCCATAGCTTTTTTTCCCTAAGGATTAAATTCCATAGAACAAAAAGACTATGCTCTTAAAGTGCGTCTTCATTCGACGATCTTGTACAACTGTCTCAACAAAGAACCCCTGAATTCAACATGTAAACTCGCTTTTGGTGTTCAGAATCACCTCGTAAAGTTTGATATCTCACAGCATTAGTTGGCCTCTTACATTTAGTGAACGTCAACTCGGCCAACAAAGGATATTACAATATCAGTCCTTTACACCGGGATGCCATTTGTTACTGTAATATCCTCTTAGGCAGAATAGATATTACTTACTACAGAGAACAAAGAAACAAAGCAACTAGATCAAAGCCACCTCAACCCCTTTATGGACCACGTGCTTAAAACTGTATAAAAACAAATAAACGAAAGAGTTTGAAAACTTCTATGTCATTAATCAAATAAAAAAACGTATGCATTTTACAAATACATAGTAACAATACCGATATAAAAAGGTATCTGACAAACAGCACATTGACTAGAATCAGAAAAATATGCGTCAAGTTACACCATTTTAAATTAACTTCAAATACCAAATTCTGTCAATAGCCGCTCAAAACAGGTGCTGGCCAGAAAAATAGTTCTCAGAGGAGTTTGTAGTCCGCCCAGTACAAAGAATTAGGGAGAACATTGTTCTAGAGTGCTTCTATCTTTAATTCATGCTCTTTTCTATGCACTTCTTTTACACAGTAAACCTTAGTTATACGATTTCCATATATCTGTTTGCCACTACACACCCAACAGAACGCTACTTGTTCGGTATTTTCCACCATACAACCAATAAAGTGTGTACTTCTTACTCAATTCATTCCACTACACACTTAATAAAGTGAGTGCTACTTGTTTGCCACTTTTCACTACACTCCCGTCGACGTACTACTTGTTCAGAGCTTTCCGCTACACACTTAACAGTGTGTATTACTTGTTCAGAGCCTACCGCTACACACTCAACCGTGTGTATTACTTGTTCAGAGCCTACCGCTACATACTCAACAGTTTCTACTACACACACGCACAACAGTTTCTACTACTTGTTCAGAGCCTTCCGCTACACACGCATACACACTCAACAGTTTCTACTACTTATTCAGAGCCTTCCGCTACACACACACTCAACAGTTTATACTACTTGTTCAAAGCCTTTCGCCACACACACACACACACACTCAACAGTTTATACTACTTGTTCAAAGCCTTTCGCCACACACACACACACACACTCAACAGTTTATACTACTTGTTCAGAGCCTTCAGCTACGCATACTCAATAGTTTCTACTACTATTCAGAGCTATCCGCTACACACACTCAACAGTTTCTACTACTTGTTCAGAGCCTTCCGCTACACTATTTTTATTCAAAACCTTTTACTAAACAGGAGATTCCAATTCTGTGTGGGTTCAGCTCTTTCCCGTTCCTTTCCACAGAAACTTGGAGTCCCTCAGGGCTGTGTCTTGAGTGTCACACTTTTTAGTGTTAAAATTAATGCCATCACTAATAATCTTCCTCCGACTGTTGCAAATGGGCTCTATGTCGATGACTTCCACTTCTCGTGTTAGTCGTCAAACATGAGGTTTATTGAGCGGCAGCTTCAGACTTCCCTCAATCAGTTGTTGACATGGACCACTGCTAATGGTTTTAAATTTTATTTGTATAAAACTGTTTGCATGCATTTTTGCCGCCAACGGGGCCTCCACCCCAATCTCGAGCTCTGTCTTGGTGATATAATTATTCGTGTGATCCCTAAAGTTCTTGGGGCTTATTTTTGACTGTAAGTTTTGCTT